CATTTATACATTTGCATTATATATTGCAATAATTTTACATTTGCGAACGTAGAATCTGCTGGCTCAGTGAAAAACCAATAAACTGCAATTTGAAACGAAGACGTGCTAGTTTCGAGAAATAAATTATACAGATTATGCGAATTTTTTTTTTTTTTTTTTTTTTTTTATATAAAATAAATACTAACTTTATATATAAACTGAGCGGCGAACACGATTTATGGCTTGCGTTAATATTTACGATCCGAACAAGTCTTGGACGATATTCAAGATCTATTAGATTTCTCTTTGCGCGTTGATTAATTGGCTAACACGCTGATTGTCGAGTAATAAATGTCATTCGATGGTATACATATATTAATGTTTTACGTTTCATGTTATTATTGTGTTGCAAATTCACTGTGAAACGAATAAAATAAATTTCATTGCCGAAATTTAACAATATTTGGAATTTAATAAAATTCTATTTAAGATTAGTATCTATTTAATTAGAAATTTCTTTATCTCTGTTATTGTTGCTAGCGTCTGAGCGGAAATATCTTTTATTAAATTTATATTCGAATAAAATGAAATAACACGTGAATGACTCGCTGGTATTCGAACTAGCGTTGTTGATCAGCACAAACTGTTGGAAATATTTATTTGAAATAAATCAGGAAATGTATAAGATATTTGACAGAATAACAGTTAATCGTTCGTTACGCTAATCTCGATATTCAGTGGAGTCATCTTTGATCGAGGATGTTACATCGAATATATGTTTGCAATAAATTTTCAAATTTATTGGCTCGAAATTTACATAATATATTTCTCACTCCTTCATTATATAGAACACTTTCTAATAAAATTTCAAACGTGCTACAAATTGCAGTGCAGATTAAAATTTTATGCTGCATTGTAGAATGTGCTACATTACTATAATCACATATTACAGTACATTATAACATATATTATATTATAATATTGTAGCATAATCATTATATTAGTAGTACATTCAGTACATTATGTAAATAAAAATATATACCGTAGGTAAAAGAAAACCTTGACAAACCTGAATTATTATCAGCATGATCCTTCTTATCTCACGCCTAACGTCTTTTCTCTAAAATTTCTCTTGCGCGTGAATCATCGTGTTCAAATAATCCGCCATCGTTTTTGGCCACAAAATCACCATGAATCATCCCCATAACGTATCACAGTTATTATCTGTTGGAGCTGTTTGTCACCGCTCGTCCTCCATCGCGAACTTCAAATCCACGACGAGGACGGCGAGTTTTAATCGCCCGGCGACTAAGGTCATCCTTTCTACCTCCGGCTTTTGATATATGCGTCCAAAAACTATGCACACCGGTTAGGTTCGCAATTAGTTCGCGTCGCGGTATTCGACGTTGCCGATTTGTTGCACGTCGCAACAAGGAACTGCTTGCTGCCAGGAGTCGCGCTCCCCCCGTTTATGATTTCTATTTAGACGATCGTTTC